TGAGGTGAGGTGCACAGACTGCATTAGCTCCGTATACCCTGCTAAGACTGGAGCCTGCCAAAGACAGGCAGAGCACATCTGTTGCTGTATTTTGTGTTGGAGGTGTGTGTTTGTGTGTGTATATATGCGTACGTGCGTGCGTATATGCGTGCTTTCATTAGCCCGTGTGTGTATTAGAAGGTATTTTGGGATGCAAGTATCTCTATGGCACACATACAGTACAATATATATGGGCCATCTGGTGTGATGATGAGCACCATCCATGCTAGTCTCCTCTCTATGATTCATCATCATAGAAGCCTTCAACACACATATGCGCTGAGCTGCAGTAAGCAGGTGCAGTGGCAGGCACTTTATGTGTCCCAAATGGCTTCCTATTCCTTATATAGCACACTACTGACCATGGCCCATAGCGGTTTGACATTCGGGACGAAGCCTGTGTCACTGAGCTGCACTGAGCATGTGCAGAAGAGGACATAATCCAGTGGGCATTGTCGAGGTCACCATCTCTGGTTGGGCTCGTTGAGACTCAGGGGGGCTTTTACTCCCATAACACCTTGCAGCCATAGAGTACAGTGACACAACAGAAAGTGCAGTGTCATCCTATCTGACTAGCTGGCTGGTGTGGTCAAGGACATCAGCCTTATACTCCTGTAACACTGGCCATAGGGGAACACCAGCCAACCATAGGGGAACACCAGCCAACCATAGGGGAACACCAGCCAATCATAGGGGAACAACAGCCAATCATAGGGGAACACCAGCCAACCATTTTCTGTCCTCCCTGGGCTCCGTCCCAAATGGCATCGAGAGAGATGTAAACGGTCTACTACATTGTGAATGGACTGTGTGAAAGAAAGGAAGGGGAGGTTTTAAAATAGCTTAAATCTTTGTTAACGAACTAGACGTTAACAGTAACCAACAGTGCCCATATCCCCCACTGTGCTTGGGCAGAGGTTTATACAGTAAAGCAGAGCTTTCTGTCTAAGCTGCACATGTGTGACTTTATTTTTAACAGCCATGGTCACAACATAACACTTGGCTGCAGACTACAGGCCTTAGGACACCACAGTGTCAGGGAGGGGGTGTGTCTGTCTCTGTGGCTACGGCTGCAGCCTGGTTAGTGGTTATTGCAGCTGGTTTCCTCAGTTTTGGTTTGATTACTGTGCAGTAGTCTCAGGCTCACTGACCACGGTGCAGAAGTCTCAGGCTCACTGACCACGGTGCAGTAGTCTCAGGCTCACTGACCACGGTGCAGAAGTCTCAGGCTCACTGACCACAGTGCAGTAGTCTCAGGCTCACTGACCACGGTGCAGTAGTCTCAGGCTCACTGACCACGATGCAGAAGTCTCAGGCTCACTGACCACAGTGCAGTAGTCTCAGGCTCACTGACCACGGTGCAGAAGTCTCAGGCTCACTGACCACGGTGCAGTAGTCTCAGGCTCACTGACCACGGTGCAGTAGTCTCAGGCTCACTGACCACGGTGCAGAAGTCTCAGGCTTACTGACCACGGTGCAGTAGTCTCAGGCTCACTGACCACGGTGCAGAAGTCTCAGGCTCACTGACCACGGTGCAGAAGTCTCAGGCTCACTGACCACGGTGCAGAAGTCTCAGGTTCACTGACCACGGTGCAGTGGTCTCAGGCTCACTGACCACGGTGCAGTAGTCTCAGGCTCACTGACCACGGTGCAGAAGTCTCAGGCTCACTGACCACGGTGCAGTAGTCTCACGCTCACTGCAGAAATACTTTGCTGAAACAGGGCAAACAAGCTGCTGTTAGTCTGCACACACACACACACACACACACACACACACACACACACACACACACTCTCACTCTCTCTCTCTCTCTCTCTCTCTCTCTCTGCAGAAACAGGGCTATTCAGTAGCTGCTGTTCATTCTGCTGCAGGCTGTTTTTACTCCTCATAGTTTAGTCAATGAGCCACCTGTTTCCCATCTCCTTTGTTTGTATTGAGCTCATTTTGTGGCATCGCTCACCTTCACGGAACTGACAGTATTATTGTATTGATCTCATTATGTGACATCGGCCACCCCCCAGTGTACTACTGACAGTGTTAATGTATTTCTACAGAGCTTAATCGGACCTCCACGATGGTTGCTAGATACACCTATAAAAGGACAATACACATATAAAAGGCATGTATGGCATTTAGCGGACAAACTGTTCTCTACAAGAACAGAACATAGCAAGACCATAACAGATATTTAAACGTATATAACAAGAACATAACAAATGTCAAACCAGTGAGTAACTCTATAGGGCCCTATTGTGTCGTACTCCTCACCATCTCTGTGCTACAGTACACCAGCCCATTTATGAGTGTGCTGGCATCCACACAAAGGAGAGCACAGAGTTTATTGTACAGTAAAGTCTGTTCAGTGCAGAGCAGACTACAGACGCAAACACACACGCACACACACACACATACACACACACCCACGAACTCGCATACAGACGCACGCACTTGCTCACACTCACAGAGCGGAGCAGAAGTATCTATCCAGAAGAGGATATAAAGTGGTGAGTAGCACCAGCAGGAAGGCAGTTTAGAAACTCATTACCCAGACACAGAACACTATGGTCCTGAGGAGAGGAGCAGAGCACAGGATCGCTGGGATAACAATGTTACAGCCAAACACTGCCCTGGTTAACTGGGTTTATTCACCTCATACTGGGGTTGGAGAGGATGTGTGTTTGTGTGTCTGTGTGTTTGTGTGTCTGTATGTGTGTGTGTGTGTGTGTGTATGCATCCTAATTCACTCATGCCGATTGTGAAGCACAGACACAGCCTCAAACAGAAATGGATGGTGTGTTAAATGCACGTGTAAAAGATGGGCCTTTCAGACAGACATGTAGTGTGCTGCACACAATGGATCAATTTGACCTCTCAGTTAGAGAGATGTATGGGCAACACTAACTTCTCTCTTCACTGAGTTTTGTAACACTGTCTCTCTCTCTCTCTCTCTCTCTCTCTCTCTCTCTCTCTCTCTCTCTCTCTCTCTCTCTCTCTCTCTCTCTCTCTCTCTCTCTCTCTCTCTCTCTTTCTCTCTCTCTCTCTCACACACTCTCCCTCCTCTCTCTGTCTGTCCTACAGGAACAGTATAGCAGCATCTGCAGTGTGTGCATTTAACCTTAGCTCCATCACCCAGGCCTTCAACGGGCCCTTCCGTTCCCAGGAGAACCCCCGCTCTACCTGGCTGCCCACCCCCAACCCCATCCCCAACTTCCAGGTTAGTGCTGGTCTGGCGCGTAATCCTACCCACCCTGTGTATCCCCAGAACCAGGACTAAAGGACACTGCATCTAGGAAGCATTTGATATAAGAACCAGGGATCATTCACCCCATAGCCCACATCATTTAAGAAATGCACCTGTAGCTTTATGAAGCAATTCATGTCATCCAGTATTTAAGAATGGCATTTCAGGAGCATATTGTTGCTGTAGCTTGCCAGGCACAGAGATGTTGTTTAGCCTAACAACAGTCATTACATTGTAACAGTCATTACATTGTAACAGTCATTACATTGTAACAGTCATTACATTGTAACAGTCATTATCTTATAACAGTCATTATCTTGTAGGCGTGATTACTAAAGGATACAATGAGAATGAAATGACCGCAGCCTGAGGCGTAGTATTGATACAATGAGAATGAAATGACCACAGCCTGGCGTAGTATTGATACAATGAGAATGAAATGACCACAGCCTGGCGTAGTATTGATACAATGAGAATGAAATGACCACAACCTGAGGCGTAGTATTGATACAATGAGAATGAAATGACCACAACCTGAGGCGTAGTATTGATACAATGAGAATGAAATGACCACAGCCTGGCGTAGTATTGATACAATGAGAATGAAATGACCACAGCCTGGCGTAGTATTGATACAATGAGAATGAAATGACCACAGCCTGGCGTAGCATTGATACAATGAGAATGAAATGACCACAGCCTGGCGTAGTATTGATACAATGAGAATGAAATGACCACAGCCTGAGGCGTAGTATTGATACAATGAGAATGAAATGACCACAGCCTGGCGTAGTATTGATACAATGAGAATGAAATGACCACAGCCTGGTGTAGTATTGATTTAATCAAAACAATAATGACTGTTAACATGAAGCGTTTTCATTATGTGGCTCTTTTCTCTTTTTCTCTCTCTCTCTCATCCCCTTTTTCTTCTGCTCTCTCAAATCAAATCAAATTGTATTTGTCACATACACGTGTTTAGCAGATGTTATAGCGGGTGTAGCGAAATGCTTGTGCTTCTAGCTCCAACACTGCAGTAATATCTAACAATTTCACAACATTACATTGACATTTTAGTCATTTAGCAGACGCTCTTATCCAGAGCGACTTACAGTTAGTGAGTGCATATATTTTCATACTGGCCCCCTGTGGGAAACGAACCATCAACCCTGGCGTTGCAAGCGCCATGCTCTACCAACTGAGCTACAGGGGACTACATATACCCAATACACACAAAACTAGTAAGGAATGGGATTTAAGAATATATACATGGACAAGCAATGACAGAGCGGCATGGACTAAGATACAGAAGAATATTATAGAATAGAATGTAGTATATAGATATGAGATGAGTAGTGCAAGATATGTAAACATTATTAAAGTGACTAGTGTTCAATTTCTTAAAGTGGCCAGTGATTTCAATAGGCAGCAGCAGCCTCTACTGTGCTAGTGATGGCTATTTAACAGTCTGATGGCCTTGAGATAGAAGCAGTTTTTCATTCTCTCGATCCCAGCTTTGATGCACCTGTACTGACCTCGCCTTCTGGATGATAGCGGGGTGAACAGGCAGTGGCTCGGGTGGTTGATGTCCTTGAGGATCTTTTTGGCCTTCCTGTGACATCGGGTGCTGTATGTTTCTCACTCACTCTCACTAAACCACTCTCTCTCATCCCCTCTTCTCCCACCTCCATCCCCCCTCCTCTCCCACCCGCTCCTCAGTGTGGGACCATAGATGACGACGGCGGTCCTAACGATGGTCTGACGGAGCGCAGCCTCCAGGACGCCCAGCGGCTGTACCTGATGAACGACGTGGTGCAGCCCGTCTCTGTGGACCCCTTGGTCATGCAGGACGATGTGCGCTTCTCCAGGCTGGTAGTGGACATCGTACAGGGTCACGACACCCTCTACCACGTCATGTACATCGGCACAGGTCAGTAGAGTTTAAAGGTCAGGGGTCAAGGTCAATAGGTTAGACCCAAACAATCAATCATCAACCAATTAATCAATCAATCCCGGCACCCTCCGCTAGCTGTCCATCCAAAGGACGTTCTATTGACCTATTATAGAGCCCTGAGTTTTCCCTAGCCACATGACCTGACTGTATACAGAACAAACCAATGAATTATCATCATCATCCTCTTCCTCCTCTCTCCTCCAATCAGAGTACGGCACCATCCTGAAGGTCCTGGCCACCACCAATAAGAGCCTTCAGGGGTGTTACCTGGAGGAGATCCAGCTCCTTCCCCCTGGGGTGCGGGAGCCAATCCTGAGCCTGCAGATCCTTCACAGTGATAGGTCACTGTTCGTAGGACTCAACAACAGAGTTCTGAAGATTCCATTGGAGAGATGCTCCAACTACAAGACTGAGACGTGAGTTTCTTACATTTTTACAATTTGTACAAGTACACAAAAAGCCAAAGTGGCCAACAAACCCAAACTTATGGGACAGTACATGTTAGGAAAAGCTGCAACTGCATGACTGAAACGTGAGTTCCTCAAATTGAGGATTATTACACATTCTCAATCACATCTCCGTGTTTCGGTATAGTTTTGGTATAGTTTCGGAAAACTTCCATAGAAATGTACAGAGTGTTGTTTATAGCTTACTTACAGTTACTTTCCATGAGTATTAAGTGCTGGAATTCTACCTGCCTGAGTAACTCACTGTGTAGTCCTATCCCTAGAAGTCTGTACTACTCATTTTCATTATTGGATGACACACTCTACTAAAACAATAACACTTAGGTGAGATAATTTGTTGTGTTGTTGTTTTTAATGAATGAACTAGTTATTCTAAAAAGAGTGAGAGAGAAAGGAAGCCTTACTTTAGATTTTAGTTTCTCTCTGATTCAGGCTAATTTAGGGTGCACTGTTAGCCGTTTTATTTTATTTTATCAGTAACTTACTGTGTTAATCAACAGTATGATACTGTGTAAACGGAGTACAGTAGATTACCGTAGGATGCACAGCAAAGTACCGTACCTTTGTTTTACAGCACACTGTAAGACCTTTCTGTAATTTCAACAGTAAAACACTGTAGAATGCACAGTAAAATACCATAAATGTGTTTTACAGTATTCATTATGGTGCATTGTGGGAAAATGTTGTAGGCGGGGAAAGAGTCTCTGGCTCATGAACATACTTTAAGGTGTGCCTTGTAAGAGACTATTTGTTGCACCCGTGGGTGAGAATGCTGTACCCCCACAGACTACAGTAATATACTTTTTTTTTTTTTTTTTTGAAATTCTACAAACCTTGTCTTGAATCTCTAGAGTAACTTACTGGCCAATTGCTGCCTGTAATTTACTGTTATTCAGAATACAGTAACATGCTGCATTTTTGGAGTGCGAAAAACCTTTTGAACACAAGTGGATGCATGGTATTGTTGTTTCTTACTCATTAACATATTTTGAGGCGTGTCTTGGAAGATTCCATATTTATTGCACCCGTTAGTGAGAGTGCTGTACCAATTTAAGTGATATGTAGTAGTTAATCCTTTGTTTAGCTCTAAAGTGAATATGATATAAAACACAAAAAATCAGTTGGTATGCTGTAATACATAATTCAATATTCACTATTAGCAATTGCTGATTGTATTTTCAATACAATTCAGCAATAAAGTACTGTACTGCTGTTTTGCTTTATATTTACTGCAGCATACTGTAAATTATGGTGCATTGTGGAGAAATATTGTTGGAGGAGAAAGAATCACTGGCTCATTAACATATTTTAAGGCGTGCATTGGAAGTGGCTATATTTGTTGTTGAGAGTCCTGAACCAGTTTAAGTGATATGTGGTAGTAGTTCTCTAACAATTAAATGTATACTGAACAAAAATATAAACGCAACATGCAACAATTTCAATGATTTTACTGAGCTACAGTTCATATAAGGAAATCAGTCAATTGAAATCAATTAATTAGGCCCTAATCTATGGATTTCACATGACTGGGCAGTGGCGCAGCCATGTGTGGGCCTGGGAGGGCATAGGCCGACCCACTTGGGATCCAGGCCCACTGGTTGTGGAGCCAGGCCCAGCCAATCAGAATGAGTTGTTCCCCACAAAAGGGCTTTATTACAGACAGAAATACTCCTCAGGTTCATTACATTTACATTTACATTTTAGTAATTTAGCAGACGCTCTTATCCAGAGCGACTTACAGTTAGTGAGTGCATACATTATTTTAATTTTTTCATTCTGGACCCCATCAGCTCTGACTGCTGGTCAGGGTGGCTGGTCTCAGACGATCCCGCAGGTGAAAGAGCCGGAAGTTTTATAGTGATTCCTATGTTGTTGATGTGAAGAATATGTATTGGTCCGTGGTGTGTAATGAGGAGCAAACAGACGCTGCACTTGACACAGTTATGAAATTGCTTATTCCAGTTACTAATAAGCATGCACACATTAAGAAAATGACTGTAAAAACTGTTAAATCCCCATGGATTGATGAGGAATGGAAAAATTGTATGGTTGAGAGGGATGAGGCAAAAGGAATGGCAAATAAGTCTGGCTGCACAACTGATTGGCAAAGGTATTGCAAATTGAGAAATCATGTGACTAAACTGAATAAAAATAATAAGAAACTAAACTATAAAACAAAGATAAATGACATAAAGAATGATAGTAAAATGCTTTGGAGCACCTTAAATGACATTTTGGGGAAAAAGGCAAACTCAGCTCCATCATTCATTGAATCAGATGGCTCATTCATCACAAAACCAACTGATATTGCCAACTACTTTAATTATTTTTTAATTGGCAAGATTAGCAGACTTAGGCATGACATGCCAGCAACAAACGCTGACACTACACATTCAAGTATATCTGACCAAATTATGAAAGACAAGCATTGTAATTTTGAATTCCGTAAAGTGAGTGTGGAAGAGGTGATTTTTTTGTTGTTGTCTATCAATTTAAGCCTACTAGAAAGTATGTGCCCCCAGGTCTGGAAGGAAGCAAAAGTAATTCTGCTACCTAAGAATAGCAAAGCCCCCTTTACTGGCTCAAATAGCCGACCAATCAGCCTATTACCAACCCTTAGTAAACTTTTGGAAAAAATTGTGTTTGACCAGATACAATGCTATTTTACAGTAAACAAATTAACAGACTTCCACCACGCTTATAGGAAGGACATTCAACAAGCACAGCACTTACACAAATGAATGATGATTGGCTGAGAGAAATTGATGATCAAAAGATTGTGGGGGCTGTTTTGTTAGACTTCAGTGTGGCTTTTGACATTATCGATCATAGTCTGCTGCTGTAAAAACGTATGTGTTATGGCTTTACACCCCCTGCTATATTGTGGATAAAGAGTTACTTGTCTAACAGAACACAGAGGGTGTTCTTTAATGGAAGCCTCTCCAACATAATCCAGGTAGAATCAGAAATTCGTCAGGGCAGCTGTCTAGGCCCTTTACTTTTTTCAATCTTTACTAACGACATGCCACTGGCTTTGAGTAAAGCCAGTGTGTCTATGTATGCGGATGACTCAACACTATACACGTCAGCTACTACAGCGACTGAAATGACTGCAACACTTAACAAAGAGCTGCAGTTAGTTTCAGAGTGGGTGGCAAGGAATAAGTTAGTCCTAAATATTTCTACAACTAAAAGCATTGTATTTGGGACAAATCATTCACTAAACCCTAAACCTCAACTAAATATTGTAATAAATAATGTAGAAATTGAGCAAGTTGAGGTGACTAAACTGCTTGGAGTAACTCTGGATTGTAAACTGTCATGGTCAAAACATATTGATACAACAGTAGCTAAGATGGGGAGAAGTTTGTCCATAATAAAGCGCTGCTCTACCTTCTTAACAGCACTATCAACAAGGCAGGTCCTACAGGCCCTAGTTTTGTAGCACCTGGACTACTGTTCAGTCGTGTGGTCAGGTGTCACAAAAAGAGACTTAGAAAAATTGCAATTGGCTCAGAATAGGGCAGCACGGCTGGCCCTTGGATGTACACAGAGAGCTAACATTAATAATATGCATGTCAATCTCTCCTGGCTCAAAGTGGAGGAGAGATTGACTTCATCACTACTTGTATTTATGAGAGGTATTGACATGTTGAATGCACCGAGCTGTCTGTTTGAACTACTGGCGCATAGCTCGGACACGCATGCATATCCCACAAGACATGCCACAAGAGGTCTCTTCACAGTCCCCAAGTCCAGAACAGACTATGGGAGGCGCACAGTACTACATAGAGCCATGACTACATGGAACTCTATTCCACATCAAGTAACTGATGCAAGCAGTGAAATTAGATTTTTTTTAAAGAGAAAAATACACATTATGGAACAGCAGGGACTGTGAAGCAACTCATAGGCACAGACACATGCATACACACACACGATAACATACGCACTATACACACACGTACACATGGATTTTGTATTGTAGATATGTGGTAGTGGTGGTTTAGGGGCCTGAGGGCACACAGTGTGTTGTGAAATCTGTGAATGTATTGTAATGTTTTTAAAATTGTATAACTGCCTTAATTTTGCTGGACCCCAGGAAGAGTAGCTGCTGCCTTGGCAGCAGCTAATGGGGATCCATAATAAATTCAAATACAAATGTGGAGGTCCTGGGCTGGTGTGGTTACACGTGGTCTGCGGTTGTGAGGCCAGTTGGACGTAGAGCCAAATTCTCTAAAACGACGTTGGAGGCGGCTTATGGTAGAGAAATCAACATTCAAGTATCTGGCAACAGCTCTGGTGGGCATTCCTGCAGTCAGCATGCCAATTGCACACTCCCTCAAAACTTGAGACATCTGTGGCATTGTGTTGTGTGACAAAACTGCACATTTTAGAGTGGCCTTTTATTCAAATCAAATGTTATTGGTCACATACACATATTTAGCAGATGTTATTGCGGGTGTAGCGAAATACTTGTGTTCCTAGCTCCAACAGTGCAATAGTATCTAACAATTCTCAACAATACACACAAATCTAAAAGTAAAATAATGGAATTAAGAAATATATAAATATTAGGACGAGCAATGTCTGAGTTGCATTGACTAAAATACAGTAGAATACAGTATATACATATGAAATTAGTAAAACAGTATGCAAACGTTATTAAAGTGACTAGTGTTCCATTTAAAGTGGCCAGTGATTCCATGTCTATGTAAATACAGTGGGGAAAAAAAGTATTTAGTCAGCCACCAATTGTGCAAGTTCTCCCACTTAAAAAGATGAGAGAGGCCTGTAATTTTCATCATAGGTACACGTCAACTATGACAGACAAAATGACAAAAAATGACACAAAAAAAAAAAAAAAAAAATTAATATCACATTGTAGGATTTTTTATGAATTTATTTGCAAATTATGGTGGAAAATAAGTATTTGGTCACCTACAAACAAGC